TGCATAATGGATTGTTTTAGTAAAATTTACTTTGGAAATATTAATAAAACGCTCGAACTTTTGATTCACATCCTAATATATATATAATATTTCATAATTCTGTTTTCTGTAATTCTGTAATTCCTCTTTACTTCGTTTTACTTAACTTATCTCATGATTAAATCGAATTATTTTATTTCTTTTTTCCAAATTAATAAATTCTATTAGAAACTTTTTCGTTGTGTTTTAAAAGTATTTTCTTAACTCTCTAAAAAAGAAATTATTATCGAAAGGGAAGAGAATAAAAAAGATGAAGAAAAAAAAAAAAAAAGGTGAAATATGTCTTTACAGATTACGGCACGAAAAAAATGGCGGAGCTTGGTGTCCAAAAGCACAAATCAGCAGTGCCATACGAGAATATTTGGAAATCGATCTAACGAAGGATCATCTTATTACGTGGACTGAAACTCAAGGACGTTTTGGTAATGGTCAAGGCCAAGAATATGCCGAAGCATTTTTTCTTGAATATTGGCGGGATTCTAAATGGCATCAATATAAAAATCTTAAAAGAGATAAAGTACGTGTGTTTAGGTTAATTATACGAATTATTTTTGGTTTTTTAATATATATATTTATTTATTTATTTCTTTTTTATTTATCATGTACAATTTGTTTACTATAGGTATTACGAGGTAATAGCAATACGTATTTGGTAGAAAAGCAAAAATTAGATTTGCCGTTCGTAGCTAGCAGAGTACGATTTGTACCGTACAGCCAACATCCTCGTACCGTCTGTATGCGTGTAGAAATTTATGGCTGTGTATGGGAACGTGAGTATCCTTCAATCGAGTACCATTATATTAAGTATATTAACTATATTAAGATGCAAGCAGACGTTACATCGAGGCAACCATCTATCTACCTGCCACCTACTCTACCTATTTATTATTTATTATGTTACACATATATATACGTACGTGTCTGTGTATTCATTAAAGTTGATAATAATTTAACATTTAAAAGGAATTTAGATAAGTGCATTTTCAAAATCACACATGCAATATCTTTTTATCGAATAATATTTCGTAAATTATCGATATTCAAAAATCTTCCATAATGAAACAAAAAAAAAAGAAAAACATTTTTTTGCAAATCAATATTAAAATATCAAATAAATTATTTAAATATGAGAAAAGATATATTCTTTAATATATATATATATTAAAATAAAAGTTTTATATATAAATTTGAAAATGATATTGTTGATTAATATAACGTTTAGTTTGTTATAAATAATAATTTCGTCAATAAGTTTAAAAATGAACGATTAATATTTATAATAAGAGTTAAATTACATCGAAACTGTGTTAAGATTGCATTAGAATTACATATTAATGCGTATTGATACATAATACTGATAACTTATATATTATACATTGATATTTTATTTCAAATTATAATTAAAAAATGTTTGATAAAATACTAAAGTAATAGATATATAACGTAATGTATTAAATAATTGTTCTTTTTTTTATTTTTTGTTAGAACATATCGTAAGGTACGTAATACCAACGGGTGATTCATTCGGACCAAACGGATCAAACATGGAAGATTCTTCATACGATGGTACAGAGGCTGATGGTATTTTAAGAGACGGGCTTGGTCAATTGATCGACGGAATTTTCGCGGACGAATCCGAAGCGATGACCTCTTCCAGTGGGACGAATTGGGTCGGATGGAATAATCGGGATAGCGTGCAATTGATCTTTGAGTTTGACGATGTCCGTGAATTCGTCAATTGTACCATTCACGTTGCCAATTTACCGCAACACGATATCGAGGTAAATAAAACAACAGGAAAACAAATGACGTAACTATTCTATAACTATAAATAAATATCAATAAATTATTGATTTAAATAATAAAAAAAAATATATATATATATGTATATATATATATGTTTACCTGTATTAGATATTCTCAATAGTTTCCGCGTGGTTCTCACACGATGGTATTGATTATAATCCAACGGAAGAGACATTGCTAATAAACCAGGATGACATCAAAGTTGGTACTAGTCTTTCAACGATCCTATTACCAACGCGAATTGGTAAATTTGTTAAATTAGAATTTAAAATGAAATCCAAATGGTTGCTTATTAGCGAGATCAACTTTGAAACAGGTATTTAAAACTCATTCGCGTAATCTTATCGAATCAAACGAAAAGGGGAACAAAAAAAATATAAATAAAAAGATTTATTCGATAGTCGTAGGTACAAGGAATTCATCTAGCAAATCGAATAATCAAATACTCGACGACGATATTAATGATATAGAATTGAGCGTGGATCTTGCTGAAAAAACAAACAACGATTTCAACGAGACAATTTACGAGCAAAACGATTCTAATTTAACACCGGACGCCTTCCCGGTTAATAATTCACAAACTTACATTGGTCTAGTTAGCGGTGCATTGACGGTGATAGCATTGCTATTAACTTGTACGATATTTTTAATGAAACAAAGGGGACGCAACAAAGTTGCTCTTTTGCAAAAGCATACGGCGTTGTTGTGCGGTTCATCGGCACCAGGCATCACTATCAACATGAAAGACGTTAAATTAGCAACCCCAATCGTTGTCAATGGTTTATCTCAATCACGATTATCTGTCAAAAGTAAAAGTCTTACAAACGACGACGACAGTATTCGTGGTACAACAGAGAGACGTAATTCTGAACGAATGTACGAACGTTCGAGCGCATACGAAAGAACTTACAAAGTATTCTCAGAAGACAATCACGTATATGATGCGAGACCTCATCAAAGTGAATTATTGTCGTCGATAGATTACAATACCGAATACTCTGGTAAATTATTTTCATTGATTTTCCTTTTTCCTTATTTAATATCAAACAATTTATTAACGATCTCGAGATAAATTGTTAGATATTGGTCTTTTGTCCAAACAGTTCGTACCAAATTATAAATATATATATATATATATAATTACATTTGTTCTAGACTTCAACAGCGATTGTAACTTTTCGAGTTACAAAGTAGGAAATCGTGTTGCATCTACGCCCTTTCCGATAAAGAAATCAAAGTCTACGCAGTCGGGAAAAATCAATCATAAAGTTTACGAAAGTTATTATGCTGCGACCGATATATTGACGGTAGAAAATATCGAAATTTATTCATAAGATTTATTATCAAAGAATTTATTCCATTCACATATTGATAATATTTTTACAGATCAAAAGGCGCGAACAATCATCAGTGTTCAGTCTATTCACGCCTTTACATATTAGAGATAACACTAATTCTGGGAGTAATGGAGATTCTTGTGACATTCCACGAATTTCTAGACACAGATTAAGAATTCTTGACAAGCTTGGCGAAGGAAGCTTCGGATTGGTAATAAATACGTTTATTTTCATACAACAATATCAACGTATAATAATAAATAGATTTTTAATTAAATAAAAAACTTATATATTCGTTTAAAGGTACATCTTTGCGAAGCTAAGGGTATACAAAATCCAGACGTTGGAAGTATACGAAATCGACAAATTGTTATAGTTCGTTCTCTCTGGCGTGGTGTCGTAGATTCTCTTAAGTAAGTTATACTTTATTTCAAACAATTAAATCTATATTATAAAATGATTCAATTTTAATTTGAAATTATTGTTAAAACAAAAAAAACCAGGAAAGATTTCACGAATGACATGCACTTTTTGGCAACCATTCGTGACGTTAACATCGCAAGGATAATTGCATTGGTCGAAGAAGAACCTTTTGGTGCTGTGTTCGAATACGGCGAGCTGGGTGATCTTCCAAGTTTTTTGGAAGATCGTCGCAAATCTGAAAGCGATTCACCGCTTAGGTAAGAACGTCAATTTCATCCTCTTATTTGTTTTTTTTTCTTTTTTTCTTTTTTTTTTTATGCGTTACCCAATAACTATTTATATGTAAATAACGTTGGTATCGTTCGTTCAACAGCTACGAATGCTCTTTAAATTTCATCATGCAAATTGCCTCAGGAATGAAGTACCTTGAGAATTTGAACATACCCCATCGCGACTTGGCAGCCAGGTAATAATAAATAATAAATAAACGAGAGACAAAAACAAAACAAAAACAAACAAAAAATTAAGATTCAATTAACAATCTTCATAATATGTGTATACGTTTTTAGGAATTGCGTAGTTAATCAAAATTTATCAGTAAAAGTGTCCGATCATGCGATATATTGCAACAAATATGATCACGTATATTACGTTGATGGGTGTTATAAAAAAATACCACTTCGTTGGATGGCCTGGGAAGCAGTGATCCTGGTAAGATAATTATTTATCTTCGTTCTTTTATAATTGTGTCGATATGAACAAAAAAATTATAATATATATAAAAAAAACAACACATTATATAAAATATATTAAATTAAATCTAATTCACTTTCTAAGGGTAAACAATCTTGCCGTGCCGATATTTGGTCTTACGCGATAACGGTCTGGGAGATTTTAACAGGATGCAAGGAAATACCTTATTCAGATTTGACTTCGGAACAAGTATTAGAGAATTACGATCGTTGGTACAATCATAATTCAGGTTACAATAGTAGTGGTAACAGTGAAAAAAATCAACCACGAGTATTGTCCCAACCATTGTGCTCCTCCGCTGATTTATATCACATGATGGTTAAATGTTGGAGTAAACAGCCCGAAAACAGACCTACCTTCGAGGAGATCTACCTCTATTTAAAGAGACTGGCTTTCGATTAAAATATAATATAACAACACGAGACTCGCTCCAGAAGCGCGGACCAAATTAATTACAATCAGCCAAGATGCATCCTACATATTTGCCTCTATCCTTTCTTCTATTACGATGATCGTTCAATTATTCTATTCCTATGGCAAAATTGCGTGTATGTGTGTTAGTGAATTTCACTTACTTATCATCATTCACACAACTCCTTTAAACGTAGGATGCTCTCTGGCCATTTAACTTATAATGCTCATCTAGGTTTATCTAATTCCGATCCTCTCTATTATTATTATTATAATATATAATACCTATTTATAAAATTATCAAAGGATTCGGATAAAACGCGCAAAAAAAARAAAAAAAAAAAAAAAGAAAAGAAAAAGGAAAAGAAAAAAGAACAATTTTTTATAAAAAATTAGTGTGATCGTTCTTCATTTTAAGGTAACAAAGATTTGTGTGATTTAAGAACTTCTCACATGCTTTTCATATAACTTAATATATCGTAAGATGATAGTTTTAATAATGATATGCGGTTCTCGCGCATTATTAAATAATTAACCACTTTAACTTTAAAACGCTGCTAAATGTTAATTCATTTGAACAAACGGCCTCGCGTATATTCAACAATTATTCGACGATAGAAAGATAAAGTTTGGCCGGTTAATATCACGAACCTGCATGTGCGCGTGAACTTAATATTAATATTAATATTATTCGAATCGTTACATTTTTGCTAATTCCATTGAACATATTATTAAAGTATATTATATACGAAAGTATATAGCGAAAGTAATGCTATGAAGAAATGGAATAAACTATCTAATATATATA